TATCACTGAGAATTCTACCTTTTGTTATTTCAAAACTTCTAGTATAGCCATCATAAACAATAGAAATCCATTTGAAAAAATAATTTTATCACCTTGTCTAAGTTCACAAGATGACGATCGATAAAGTATATATCTTTATTAACTTTGCATATATTCCGGCTACTTATCATGTTATGACAACGGAAAAACATGAAGTTAGACATGAATGGTGTTAGGAATGTATATATTTGATACATTTGGTTTACCAGATAGGTAGTATATGTGTATACCTGAATAAAACGTGAACTTTGGCTATTACTCGTCAAAAGCTGCTTACCTCAGTATGTATAATGAATAAACAAAGAGTAATATATGCAAACGAACATCTACATGTATACGTATACAGGAAATGTATGTGGATAAGAAGTAACGGCTAATTATGTGTGAATGTATACAGTATAACCAATAAAATTAAGATTACATATGCCAAGGTCAAACAAATTTACACAGCGGTCCGTGTTGATCTGTCATATAACTTCACGATGTGATTATAAATCTGATTGTGTTTATTATATCTCAAGTTTACATGAGTTTGTTATTATATCAACAGTACTTTTAGATAAAAACTGACTTTTCAAAATAACAAGTAAAATGAGTAACAAAAACACAATCGAATGTTGATGAACGTATTTTCTTTTAAAGACTAACCGTGAATTGATGATCTGCAATTTATACAGAAGAATTAAACATCTTTGGATTAATCCTTTTTCTATTTTTTTGTGAGTTCCTCTAAATATATATCTCTGGCTTATCATTAAATACCGTCTAACGTATATCAGGTTGGTTTTATTATCATATTGCAAAATGATTAATATAGATACTGGAATCTGTCGTGAAGGAAGTCTTATATATTCGCTTTGTATATTTTATAGATTTCTTAAGTAATCTAAGTTCTTTCAATAGTCCATGTTTATTCCCCATAAGAGATCATTTTGATAGTGGAAACAAATGAATAGAAGTATCCAGACAAATTACTTACTAAATGCGTTTTTACGTACAATTTAATTTCAACGCAGAATTTATTTTAATCTGGCAGTTAAAGTATGTCGGGAAAGATCAAGTCATAGCTTACTAGTATAGTATGTAACAGAACCTGAATGGACCGTAGTAACAGCCAGACAGGACATCAAGAAAGCACATAACTTTACAAACTTATGAGTTTTAGGAAGGTCATGATCAAGATGAAACCTATTAATTCAAAAGTTAACTAGATCATCATATAAAATGACGCTACCTGTCATGAACAAAATTATCTAAGAAAACAGCAATGAAAACAATCATTAAATTTAGCATAAACTTTTTACCCCATAGTTGATCGATCGAACTTGATCAAAAGAACATGTTTTATGAGTTTGATGTACATGAACTCAATAAATAGGGACTCATCGATTCTCAAGTATTCAATGGACAACCGTGCATAATTTAATCGCTAGTGGATAGTGTCAATTTACCAAAGCTATGGAAAATAATGAAAGATAATCAAACTGAAAGCTCAAAGTATCCTACGTTTCAGTGAACTTCCTATAATTATTACTTAATTGTTGATATCTTTTTGTTTCTTGATATTTCATGCTTCAAAATCACTTTATATCACCAAGAACAACTAAGTAATCATCTTTTGTCAGTAGACAACTTTATCATCAGTATTTTCCCAACTTTTCTGTTCCTCATCCCTAATGTTGATGATGGAATTTCATTTTATCCCTTCATCCAGTTAACATATTTTATCAATTCAAAAAAGAATTTAAACAGCTGACTAAAAGCTACAGGATAAACTGCATTCAATTTGTTATTCTTAGTCCATTCCGAAGTTTTGGAGTTGATCTTAGTCAAAATATGTTCAAAAGTGTTTTAAATTTGAATGAATCACTTACATGTCAAAAGGTATTAGCACACCTAAATAGAAATGCTTTATATTTATATAAACAAACATCAATAGGATTTATGGAATAAAACGGTTTCATTGTATTTCAAATCTTCTCATCAGATGTAAACAACCTACAATTATTGAGTACATTAGTTAGTGACTTTGAGGTAGATTTTCAAAACAGAACTGAGAATTATAATCAGAGGAATAAGAAACCAAATATGTGATTAAATTTAGTTAGGATTATTGCTTGTTTACATCAGTACAAGTATATTGTGGAGACAGATAGTTTTATATCACTGACTAATCTTAGCTAAAGAAAAAGCCAATACAAAGTAAAAAGCACAAGATAGCTGTTTTGACCTAGCATGGGGCTCATCAAAAACGGGAAACCTTGATTAGTGGATTTCAGTCATGTCAAGTGTAAGTCCCGTACTATGGCTGAGCAGCTGTCAAGCGTTTCACGGTTTTCAGTGGTTTGTCAACTTATTTATGTGTTGAAAAATGGTCATTTACAGTAGAGGAAATGATATTGTAGTGAGTAATCGTCACTAAGGTAAGTAATCACAGAAAAGGAATAAAAATAATAGGTGATCGTTAATTAATTAATATATTTAGTCCCGAAATTAAATTAATTTGTAACCATTATGACAGATTGTTTGCAAACAGTTAGTTGTTCATGATCTTTAGGGTACTCTTTGCGTATATTTCTTCAGGTATCTGTTTTTTATAAGATTTTTTCCGACCTCCAACAATTCCTGATTTATTTCATTATTTAAACCAAACATTATAGCACTATTATTTTTTCCTATAAATACAATGCTATTCACCAAAGGACCAAAACAAAGCCGATGAGCTGATTAGCGATATAATCATTCAGACTACATATTTATAAGTGAATACGTTCAAATAAATGAAACCCGACATGGCTGAACCCCACAGACTATGGCTAACAACGAACTTCCAAAAACATGTTTCATCCTGTTCAGACCTAACTCATTTCACACTTTGTGTCCTACGTTCAGAAAAAGATGTGCTATCAAATAGCGAAGATTGTTTTTTTTCTGAAGCGTAGATTTTCGGGATAATTTCTAATTAAGCATGTAGATATCTGTCATTTTGTTCTTTTAATGTGAATGTCTTTCCACATTTATGCAAACTGATACATACAGTTAAAGGTGACATGTAATAGGTATTTGTCTACAGTTGTCTCCATTACTGAACATTACATCGCTTATGGTTGGATCACTTTTAATGCTGAAAATGTAAAGTTTAACCTCCGTTAAGTCTTTGAATAAATGTCTTTGTGATCTACTTACCTTCAAATTTCACTTTAATAAAAATCCGCATATTTCCACGTATAGCATCCTTTATTCTTGTATGGTATTCAGTTCTATATTTCTTCATGAATTCCTGAAAGTAGCCATTTTCTCAAAGCCTACTAATGATTACTGCTTACATTTTTTTTGACATTTCCTATTGGGCATAAATTCTTATCTCTGCCAAAAGCTCTTTTCATCGACTCATATTTATAACTAATAGGATGTAAGCCATAAATTTTAAATTAATGGAAGCTCAAAAATTCTTCCCTACGTATGTAACTATGACAAGCCCAACTTTTCTCATTTGACAGCTGAATTGCCAACTTCAAAACAACTTAATATTTATTAATAGAATAGCCGTTATAGAATTTCAATTTGCAGAACGAACTAGACCTAGTAAATTATATTTAACTAAAGGGAAAGAAACTAAACTTAATCACTAAATAGTATTCTGTAAATATTTTTTACTCACAATGTAGATAATGAAATACACTGATAAAGTTTATTAAATAGACGTGATATAATGGAACACATACACTAAGAACGCGATTGCTTATTTACTTGTTAAGAACATTTTAATGTAAAATGAAAGCTAAATTAGATAGAATTAAATGTAAGAATAAGAAAAATGATTTGGAATCACACTACTTTGTACATTAAAGTCAAATCTATATAACGAGGACGGATTATTTCAAAATACAGACTGTTTATGAACACTCAAGAAGAATCTGAATGCTTATGCCATCAAGCTTTCAACAACGACTTTGATACAAACCACAAACGTTAGGTTACGATAAGTTCTATTACCCATTTAAGCTGTGTGTGGTAATACAGAAAGAAACGTTTTGTCATCTCTTCTTATAGACTGACTAGATTTTATTTGTTTTGTAGTTATTTAGGCATATGTTTATCTATCCTGGCGTACAAGTCAAGATTGTTCCTACCTGTATATGTATTAATATATAAATGTAAACTGATAAACACACTTAGATGTTATGTAATCATTTACATACTCCTTAGGTTTCTGATAAACTTCGCGTTACATTATCTTCATTTATCAAAGGAAATAACTGGTTTAAGTTCCTTTGTTTACTTGTTATCCACATTTGTTTATTCTCAAATATTCTAAATAGCCTGTGACAAAATTGTGTAGATATAATCCTTACGGGATGCTCATATACCAATTTCAGTCACGAATATCAACAATCGTATTATTTAAACGCTTACTAATGATAATACAAACACCATGCACATTGAAAACGTTTGTGGATATCTGCACTCAATAGGTCTATAAATAACATATTCGTGTCTGAAGCAAAAGAGTCTCGATGTAAACATAACTATTGGGATACAAATATATTCATCTCATGAGTCTTAAATTGAATGAAACACGTTTCAGAAATTCCGTCAACCCCCTTTTACGGTTGACATTTACCTTACGTTTGTCTAATAATTTTATTCACATTGACAATCTTTTTACATACTTTTTCGATTTATTTCATATTATTTATCTACCTACATGATATATATGCAGATTGTTAAACTCAACTTAAACATTATATCTTTCCTATTCTTTCTACTCATCATTTATCAGTAGTATGGCTTAACTTTGAATCCCTGATTAGACGTTATAAAATTTCCTATGCAACACACATATCAGGTATAAAATTAATGTATTACTGTTTACCTTAAAATACTCAATATATATATAAGAAAAGAAAATTAAAACGTTGTGAAATGTTGATTTTTAAACATTGTTTAAAAGAACTTACATGTATGAATATCATTTCCACAACCACATAATCCATCATTCCAATCACGGTAAATTATTGATCCTGGTTGATCACTTATAACTGGTATATTCTTATCCATTAATTAAATGAACACCTTTACTTAAGTAAAAGAAGTTTGTAATAGGATTTTTTAAGAAAATAATTTTGTAATTATAGTAATCGTAATAATAATAATAATGAGACATTTATGCTGACAAACATAATTTTATCCTAGAAAAATTGAGGTCAATTTACCAAGTTTAAAATAGTTACTGACTTGATTAATAACATACATACATAAGTTTAAATAATAAATCAGTCAAGAGTAGTAGAGTTCATTATTTCTCTTTGAATAAAGTCCCTAGTTTCGTTTGTTTCAATTAAATAATAAACAAAATGATGTCCTTAATTATATTCATATAACAAAGGATCAATAAAGAAATATTTGTTCAGTTTCTCAATTATATAAATTGTCATCAGATTTTTTGGTATACATCTTTTACCACTCGGTTACGTTTATATGATATCAAAATATAAATTTACTTATCAAATTTTTATCATCTCAAATATAGTGTTATATATGTCTAATCATTGACCCTATTTAGAATGATGAATGACTAGGTAGTAAAGATTTTACAAAGGCATAGAATAATTTGAGGATGGATATATTTTCACGTGAATAAGAATAAAGCGATTAAAAATAAATTATTAAAATTACTATAATATCTACAAAAACCTCTTCAGATATTAATCAACATATACTCACTAGTGACTGGCTTCAAGAGGTATTTTAAAGAGAAGCAGTAACCAGTGGATTTCAAGCGGGTCTGTTGTGAGATAGTAATTCACTGATAACAATATAGGATGTGTCGCTCAATTTCGTGGATTAGTTGAAGTTAGACATTAACACCGTTGGATGCCGGTCAGCTCAGTTGTCTAAAGGTTAAGCGCTCGCGAGCGGGACTGATAGGTCCTGTGTTCGGATCTCGTGAGGCGGGATAGCGGATGTACACTTATGAGGAGTCCAATAATAAGACGAAACAGCCGTCCAGTGCTTTCAGGTTTTTCATGATGGTCTAGCTTCAACTGACTCAAGATCTCAACTACTAAAATTGTTTTTTGCAAAAATTACTTACAAAAAATATTTGTTTTGGAGAGATAATATACTTCAAATAACTATAGATTTCGAAAGAACACCATGCTGTTGGTTGCATTTCTGTTTTAACTTTTTCAAAATTAATTTGAAAATATTTTTTTCGACTTATAAATATATGCTCACTCTAACTTAAAACAATAAACATTAAGTAAATAACACTAAATTCCACTTTAATATTGTGAGGGCCCTTTATTTTGTCTCCATTTAGATCGGACGATGTTGTCGACGGGCTCTCCACTTTAGTGGCGGGGGATCTAACTCCAAGTAGATCACAAGAATGATTGTTATTGAAATATATATTTCGCCTATCCTCGTATATAATCATCGACTTAAATCGCGTTAGTCAATAACGGAATTAAATAAGTCAAATAACGAGAACGGACTTTTGAATACATATATGTTGTATATGAAGTGAATGAAAAGAGCTAAGCGAAACGACGCCCAGTGGAGATGGCGAGTAAGCCAACTCCATTTAGTCAAGCGTTAATCAATATTTATAGTCACACAAAAATAAACTACAGATATGTGATGAGTAGGATAAAAAGTGTACATACACACACGCTCAAATAAAAACAATCAAGATTGATAAGCGAATAATTAGAAAGGTCAAAGTGTGGCTCGAGTAGAATGAATAGATTGGTTTGTCCGAAAGCTAGAATAAGGCATACGGGCTTAACATAGTAAGTGACACTACAATATGACTAAAGGATACCCTAAAAAAAGCCCGAACAGCTGTTTCTTGAAACGAAAAATATCTAAAGTATTATTCATTTACAACGTATTCCATGAAATTCACCCACTGGACAGGCACTGGATAGAGTACTTTATAGGATCAATACACTTGTAGTGTCAGTGAACTATCAGTGAGCTGTTGAAAGCTGGATAATAGTACAAGGGCGCTATCAGACATTTTTTTTCAGTTAAGGACAGTTAATAATGATAATTATCCTCAAATATAACAAATATATGCAAATCACAGAATTAAATAATAATGTTGATCGGTTGTTAAATTCCCGTAGTTATGCTTTTCATAGTCATACAAAATAACTTTTTAATGAATTAGGTTGAAATTCATCTAGAACAACACAAAACATAGGACAAATCGCACTCGAACACTTACTGTCTAGTCCTGTAACGAATCTTTTACTACATGAGAAAACCCTGTTTCATTGTCACGAAATCTACTAAATAAAACACTTTTCACAAATTCTAGCATAATGCTATTCAAAAAATGATCTACTGGTGTAATTAAATATTTTTCGGTATTCGACTTCTTCATAAAACTCCCTGGGTGGCTGCCTACAGAACTTTTTCCACGTTATCACAGTCACTTTTTGAACAAAGACTTGGAGACTGAACGCAGATCTAAAGTCTGGATCTCACTATAGTTGTGTATACAGTAGTGAACATATTTGTATCCATCTTGGTGAATATCTTTCTCAAGGACCATAGGATTCTGAATCGCTTAGCTGTGACCGCATGGCAGTGAGCCCATGGACTCAAGATCATGGATCACTGTCACTCGAAGATCCTGGTGAGACCGGACTTTGAGCACCGACCTCCTCTTTATGCTGTACCTATTTACCTTTGTATACTCACTGTGCATGTGAACATAACTAATGACACTGATAGTCATCAGTCATTTTTTAGACCGCGTAACCAAAACACATAAGTTCACCTGAAGTGCACACGCAGCTGCATATTCTGTTACTTCTGGTTAAATTTTTGCATCAGCGTAAAGTAGTATCGTGGACTCAACCATACTTGAAAGTTCATTTACACAAGTCATAAAAAGTAAAGAACTTAGGGAAGAGACTAGCAGTACTCCACTAAGTACTGGATTCCAGGAGAAGCAGTTTGATTCTATTCTTACTTTCTGTCTGCGATCTATCAAGAAATCTTTCACCAACTTTGTTGGAGGTTCGACAATTCCTAGATCTTCTGGCTTCAAGAGAAGTTTGTTATTCGGCACTTAATGAAATTCTTTGCTGAAGCCTATCCAGACACCAATTATTGATTTTCTACTATCCAGAGACCTTGTCAGTTTCTCTCTTGTTATAAGGAGGTCGACTGTAAGAGATAGTTCTTCTCACAAATCCTTTTGTTTGTTGTTTAACAAGTTTTTGCCTTTCATGAATATCGTCAAGGACCTGTCGATTGTTTTTTCCAGCATTTCATCTACGACACTGGTGATACTTACAAATCTGTGGTTTTATAAAAGTTATCTTGAACATGTTTTGTTGATCGGAGTGGTGTCTGCATCCTTCTGGTTCACAGGTCACTCACCTTGACCAAGTAACATACTGAATGTCGTAATTTGCCGAGCAGAAACTTATTGCCCAGTTTATTTCAAACTTTTATGATGCAGTTCATCCAATCCTGTTGTGTTTAGTGTGTCTTGAGTACAAAGGGCCTTTGGACGTGGTATTGATCGAAGTTCACAGTGAGTTGCCGATTTTGTTAATTTGTGTGTGAGCCTAATCCTTCGTCTAAAAAAGGCTCCTGAACAGAAACTGTCATGGAATAGTCCTTCTTGGAATCTGCTTTGTCTTGGTCTTCCTCCATCATCCGAGATACACTTCTATCCGCAATTCGGTTGGGAATTTAATGGTATGTTCTTGCATTGTAATTTTCTTGCGACAACAGTCCCTTCGGCTACCTTATAAGTGACTATCCCAACTCCTTTTCATATTTTCGCTCAGTAGCTTGGATCGCGCTTATGAACTTATTTCGGACCAACCTGTAGCGTTCCGACATATTTGCTGTGCTAAGGTTGATAGTGACGTTCCAATATTTTATTCTGTTTTAGCAGACACGTAGGATGGCTGTGCTTCTTTCTTGAGGACTGTCAAGAGTATAAATAGTTCAGTTAGTTGATTATATAACTGCCAGAAATGAGTCCATTTGATTTGCCAAAGTCAATTTTTCAGTTTTCAGTCAAGACTGCAGAATTGATCGCCTTCAAACGTCTTTGTCATGCGTTAGGACAGTGACGAGCAACTGCTTGACACACAATGTCAACCATGAACTTGAATAAAATGACCGTATGATCTCTTTTCCCTACAAGTGGAAGGAACTTCATTTGACTGACATCAACAACGTGTGTAGAGATTAAGTCCATAACAGACGAAGAGTTTTATAGCTCATATCTGGTGAGATCTCTAATGTGCCGGAATAAAGCCAGGACGACTGTGGTTTCTAACAATTTGTGATCATACGATGTATTTGATGACTGTGGTATTTGTACAAACTAATGATTCTTCTGTGATTGACGATCCGCTTATTATGAGTTCCAAATGGAATGCGTTCATTGACGCACATCTAGTTCTACTTCCTGCAGACTGCACCATTTCGGGAATTTCTAGTTAGTACAATAAATCGAATACTTCTGATTATAATAATCGCCCTACCTATCAGTTTTCAAAATTTATAAATAGTGCATCAAAGTCATCTGATATAAGGCTTTTACATCAGGATTTATGTTTTCTTAGAAGGGAGTCATCGACCACACATTCTAGACTGCGATACACTGCAACTAATTCAGTGTAGTGCCATTTGCATTTCAGACGTCAGTGCATCAGTTTGCATGTCCGTCATTTATAAGTCACGGTCTCGAGAGCTCATATGCTTAAGTTGCTTTTTATGTATAGGATGACCTCGCCACACCTACGATTTAGTCTTTTATTTCTAATTAACAACAAACCGAACAGTTGAATTTAACTACCACACACTTCTAACATATCCATGTTTATGGATGTTAGTAAGATCGGAGTTTCTTGCATCCACCACGTTTTTGAGCTCCGCTGACTGAATAATTAAAGCAGTTGTGAAACCTGTTTTTTCCATATCCAAAGATATTTCCTCACTTCTTGAGCCTTTTTTAGAGTTCTTGCGATTTCAAGTTCCTTTCTGAAAAAAAAGCTGACGGACATGAAAATAAGGACGTTAAACATGATCTTTTATTCAATGAAGATAGTGTAGTGACTCACATTTATCACGAGAACACGACTGGTTTAATAAAAACAATTATTATTATAACCAACTGTACCAGTGTTTGTTTTAATGTGCTTTTGTTTGACTGTGCTAATGACAGCTATTTTGTGCTTCCATTATTATTCACACACTTTTGATTGTAACTTCGCGCGAATTCGGTTACGTTCTGTAACCAAGCTTGTATCCTGGCACGATCTCGATATCCTTTCGATGCCACGAGATCGCCAGCGAATATATCTCGATTTGGTCCATTAACTGTCTTCTGATATTTGGCTTCTCGGGGATTTTATGGATTTAATTGGTTAGGTTCAACCTTCGCCTTCTGATTTATTTGGCATGTGTTTCTTGGTAGCGGAGTTCATAGTTAATCTCAACTCGACGCCACGCTACGAGAGTAAGATAATTTTAAAGAACGCTTGGTAAATATTTATGACGCGTCTTTTTTTTAAAAAAAGAATATTTCTAAAATGTGCACTGTCTTTGAAGATACATTATGATTCGATTTCCCACGGCTTAAAAATTTCAGATAATATTGACTGGTGGGTCAATGTGATGATCTCTGATAGTCATTTGTAGTGAATAACCGGTACATTTTCCGTACACTACATATTTATACGCCGTGTTTAACTCTGTTAGAAAAAACTTTGAAAATACTACCTACTTCGAATTTGAATACTTGCTTGTGATTTGTCGAAGTTTTAGAACTATTGGTATCAGTACAGTTTTATTACTTATAAAGAATCATAAGAACAATGTGTACATTCATGTTGCAGTAATTTTGTGAGTCTCTATTCGCTGCAATAGACTTGTAAGATATATGAATTATCTCACCCGTGTACTATTCATCTTTGCTCTAATTAAGTCATTTAGTCGATCGATAAACCAACTCTTACCTGTATGGACTCATTACTTTTTGTTAATCAGGAACTTGATACTTATGATCATGTGTTGTTTTAGAGATTTGTAGCGTGGCGTCGAGTTGAGATTAACTGTGAACACCGCTACCAAGAAACACGTGCCAATTAGATCAAAAGGCGTAAGAAGCTCGTTCCAAATGACTCCATAAAATCCCCGAGAAGCCGAATACCAGAAGGCAATTAATGGACCAAGTCGATGTTTATTTGCTGGCGATCTCGTGGCATCGAAAGGATATCGAGATCGTGCCAGGATACAGGCTTGGTTACAGAACGTAACCGAATTCGCGCGAAGTTACAATCAAAGTGTAAGTATAAGAATGGAAGCACAAAATAGCTGTCATTAGCACAGTCAAACAAAAGCACGTTAAAACAAACACTGGTACAGTTGGTTATAATAATAATTGTTTTTATTAAACCAGTCGTGTTCTCGTGATAAACGTGAGTCACTACAGATTTATGCATTATAAATTATCCACTGATGGGATAGCCTGGCGATAAAAAGTGGAAAACAGTGATCGCCGCAAGTAATAACGCAGTTGGTTTTATAAAAAGTTACTCTAAGTTAAGACTCCTGAACTGTCTAATACAGACAGGTAGAAGAATTCCGTGACAAGACAGATGTAATCTAATAATGATGCGTGATATAGGGCCATCAGTCAGCTAATATAAAGTGAAATTATCATGTGGGATGGAAATAAAACTACGTGTCTCATGAGATTATTTATCATCATAAATCATTAGTTTTGGTGTTGAAAAATTCGTCTTGTCTAAATATCATAAGGCTGAACAATAAAAGAGACTAAGAAAACTACTGATGTACAGAGAGAACATGTCTCAAGTTGGTATGCAACGAATACTCGGTATCCGCACTTTATTTTCATCCAATAAAAACTACTCACTATACCATAAAAGTATAATGATTACAAAAATTCAAGAGTTGGGTCACTGACTATCGATCAGTTTACCGATCGTCGTCAATGTCAAGGACAACCGGCGCACATTTATCTATGGAACGTCGTGAACTGGCCCATATGTCAGTGGTAGCGCTCTATTTCTGTCTATTACCCACTCTTACTAATATGTTTCTGCAATAACGTTGTTTTTGTTGTACGATCTTCATCGAAGCCACGATACATGGATACGACGAAAGGGTAGCCTGCGGTGAGCATTGACCTTGAGGCCCGATTACTACGAAAGATGAATGGTCACTCCATCCCTGCAAATAATTGTCACAGATCATCTACGTTAGTGATCTACATAAACATTATTTGTCCCATATTTTCAAGACTGAACAGTCGCAACTGAATTTTTCTACTTGGTTCTGTTGGTGTATGTGCATCCATTTCTGGTCCCTACTAAGTAGTAGGACTAAGTGTCCAACAAAACATATCGTCCTAAAAGCGACATCGGTGGTACATTCTAACGAGTTATACAACGACAAGCTCGACGTTAAGGTAACTTTTTCAAAAAGCATTCCTACATGTAAAAATATATGTTCTGCATTGAAGATTCAGAAGAAACCACTGAAGAACTGTACCTCTTCAATAGGCAAAAGAGAATTCAAGAAACAAAAGCAACGTTATTGCAGTCCGCAGAAGTTCGGAGATTATTGTTTTCTTGAAACCATCCTCTTCTTGTTTCTGACAGGTAGTCTACCCTCCCAGGCTCTCTGAAATGGAAAACGATATGAACAAATGCACATTAGTAAGGTCTCGAATGCTAAACGTTCCACACGGAAGAGGAAACTGCAAACATGATAATCTTGTCACATCTACGCGTCTCTCTATGGATCCGATATCCGTAGAAATCAAACACATCGAAACAATAGAAAGCAAGCGCAAACAAATCATAGGTTTTGTACAGGTTTCATGCTATTGTATTGAAATAGATCCAATGGCGCGCTTTTAACGATGTACGTTGCGATGGTTTTCCTGCAAGGCATACAGAGAGGTAAAAACAGCAAGTTCTAGTGAAGGATCCTTCATGTACACAGTAATTAAAAGTTACAATTAGGCACATCAAATACGATCAGTACAGCGCGAGTCCGAATTAAACACAGAATCCCTTCAACTAATACCACCTGGTCCCACAATGACTTCTAACACTTTGTCTCTCAAAATTTCCCTTTGATTTCCTTTCCGGCTCAGTGATCTGAAGGCTAAGTGTTCGCGCGCGAGACCGCAGGTCCAGTGTTCGAATCCCGCGAGCGGGATCATGGATGTGCGCTGTTAAGGAGTCCCATACCAGAACGAAACGGCTGTCCGGTGCTTTCAGATTTCGCCCCAAATGCTCTGGTACGGCCGAGAGTGGAGAGAGACAGCTCTCCCTCTCGAAATGCTCTCACGTGGCCGCGTGCATATAACCTCTGGCAGGTAGGTCATATTCACTACGTTCTCGCGGTAGTGGTGTTTAAGAAAATGAAAATACAAAAACGAATGTCCGGTGCTTTAACCGGTCTGGTAGACACAGAACGTTGACCCGCTTCCAAATCAATGGTGGACATAGGCTCCAAGATCCTAAGGAAACAAATGACGTGTGAACCTATTGTTGGTCACCGGCTATTATGAAACTGCAACTGCTTACGTTGCTTCACTGCCTTGTGGAATAGACTTTTAAGTCAAAGGCTCCCGGTGTGACGCCGTAAAAACTACCTGCTTTTGTTCGGGCACCCGGGCAGTATTCCAGCCCTCACACAAACTGGATGATATTAAACATCAGGTGTAAGGAGGTGTTATTCCTTCGTTTCACAAGTCCTAATTGCGTACCCAACAGCATCAGTGGTCCAATGTCAGCATCTGCCAAAATAATGCAGAATTTCATTATGCATCTCAACCTAGTGAAAAGTTGTAGAGTGTGAAAGAATAAGCTAACTAGTAATGAAAAATGTAACCCCGTTTTTTTATTACTAGATGTATAAATGAAGTATAGAAAAGCGTGGAAAACAGGTGAAAAGTCTGGGTACAAACCTGGTTCAATGAAGAGATTATATGATGGCTTTTGGTGAGAAGGGTTGGAGTTGCTGCATGGAGGCCACTAAGTGCCCTGTTGAGTGTTAGCTGGTCGTTAAACCGGACTCGTGCTGTACTGATCAGATTTGATTTGCTTAATTGTAGGTTTTAATTACTGTGTACATGAAGGATCCTTTACTTGAACTTGCTGTTTTTACTTGTCTGTATGCATTACAGGAAAATCGCTACATACAAGCTGAACCTGCTAGGATGCATAACTCCATGAAGTAATGTGAACTTGTTTCTTTCCTTAATTAAGGTATTACAACCACTGTGGCAGTGTTTTGCCATAACGGGCAGCTATTTAGTGGACTAAACTATCTGCTTCTAGTTTCGATTTCAGGATTATCTTAATCTGAGGCTTGTGTTACTGTTTATTGTCGTCATTTGCTTTCCTTAATAGTGTGCCTAGTGGGTCATCGGCTCACTTTTTCTTTTGTTATTTTGTTCAGCTCTCTGTATGCTCCATTAGTACACAAAGTACCTTCTGACTAAACGCGAACCGCTACAGCGTTTTAACGCAGCGGGAAACACGTTATTTTAGTATCGACTATCAGATTGTCTTACTCTTACTCTTGTTTTATTCCTGTTTGTTACCAATCGCCTTCATTGTTAAACGCAAGTGCATTCTGTATTCTTACTGACTTGGCTCAGTTTTTCTCTCGTTCTATTCTTAGATTTTTACACTCACTTATGACATAACATACTTTCAGGCTAGACGCAAAACATCCAAAGGCTGGACGTTACAATTTCATAAAAAGTTGATTATCTTAAAATAAGTCAATGACTGGTTCAGTTACTTTCATAATTGGGTAGTCTCGTTTACTTCAGTATAAGCTTTGCTACGCTAATAATGAAACTGCTACATGGCGATGCAAATATTCCCGACATTAAGTCCATATTTGGTTCAGATGTATCTGGATGTATTAACATGAATGTAATGCCTGGCAGCAAATCAGCAAACCTAGTCCCATACGCCGTTGAAAAGTTCCAAAGTGGAGAGACAGATACGGTAAGAATTTTAAAGAAGTATTTACATGTACATCCTGTTGCTATCATGTTTTAAAGAGAATATACGAACTATAATCTTGATAAATTCCTTCACGTACTGAAAGTCTGTGCATCAGTGTACCTACCAGAACTAGACTAGAGTTACCTATCCTAGCTTAAGTTACAGCTACATTCTATTAATCACTGCCGTCTTTATATGAGTACTCAACGAGAATCGTTCATAGTTTTTAAGATTTGTGTTAAATGGAAAGACTTGTGCTAGTAGTTTTGACCACTGCATGTAAGCATCCTATATATTTCAGTATTGCCTGGTAAACAATTACACCTGTATTCATTAAAGCACAATAAGTAGCTCCAGGTGTTTAAAATAGTTGCTTTCGTTTTATGCGTCTGCATGACCCAAAAACAAAGTTTCGGGAAGAAATGGTTCAATCAAAGCTTTACAAAAGGTGTATCCGACTACCAACTTGGATTATAATCTACTGTATGGCAGTTTTTTCATACCATCAAGAAGCATAAGAAGTACTCTATCTGCGCTAGGTTCAGCCAGTGAGTTATATTAATTATAAGAAACATTGGACATGACTGTACAGTGATTACTCCCCTGGATTTATTGTTTTATAATGAGTTCATATTTTCTAGGTACGTGCGGTCGCCACCTGGGTAAATTAATTTCTTGATGTTTACCCATCATATGTAAGAGGTCATTGGTTACATATTTCAGTTAAGTGTATACTTGTCCTGATAAATTCTAGTAACAAACAAGTGTCATTGCAAAAAGTGCTTCACTACGATTTCACCTACTATTTTTGTGTCAATCATGAATGTATTGCGCTTGGCGAAAGCCTATCATGATCGGTATTAAAGTGGAAATGAATTAGTAAACTACAGCTTGTCAATTTCCCAATCGTATATAACCAAGATTTTATGTGTGGGTACTATTCGAATATAACCTTGAGCTCCGTACTGTCTACTTGGTAAAAAGTCTTTTAAGCTTTAAAAATACTAAATTGGTTCTGTTTTACAATTGGCAAAAACAAATTCACCATCCCATACGATTGTTTCATAAAAACTGATATTTATAACTTTTCTTTACTGTTATTAATAGTCTCAGATATATCTGACTTTTTATAATCTTGGATTAGGTTTCAAGAGATCTGAAACTACTATTCTGATTCCATTTTCTGCCATTTTACTTTTAAGAGCTTGATCGTTATAATAGCATTTAAGAATCTAGGTCGCATTTACAGTTTCAGTAAGATGCTTTAGTGATTAATTTACTATGCTACATTTTGCACAGATTATATGGTGGAGCAAGCATGGCGCTGTCGCGAAGACTGTTGCGTGTGCTGAGATGTTCAAAAGCATTGTACTCAATACAATCTCACAGACGTCACAATTAGATGGTTCCAGCCCACCAAAAATGTACCAATGTAGTCGCTTGCATATTCAATCATGTAATTGCTCGGTTCCTGATACAACAATAAGTTGCACCCTGGTAAGATCGGTTATCTACAACTTAGTTTTATCTTTATAAACCTTTATCAACATCTGTAAAAAGTAACTTAATTGTAATCTATATCATAAGTATTAGGTATCACGCAAATACTTCAATTTGTCTTTCTGACACTTGTCGTCAAATGACCCTAATTGTTTACTTTACTTTTGGCGATTTTAACACAATTTCTCTTCCATAATATCCAAATCTTGACAAATTATCTATGTGTATGAAGGTCTAACTGCATAGGAAATTAGGAAGTAACTTACCTTGTTTTTCGAATAAAGACTGCGCGTTCAAAAAGTATGACACCAAATGTGTACACTACAGTCCATATATTCCTAGTAAACTTTTTGGAATAAATAGACCTATTGTACTCAAAAATAGCTGTTATATGCACTGGAACACATGATCCTTTAGGCTCTAACATACCAGACAGGTTAGTTGGAGAACGGTACATAGCTGGCACGTCTCAAACTTCTCACATAAAGGCTGTGTGTGACCAACCTCAAGTAGTAACTGCTTGGGCTCTGTGGTCACGTCCCTAAGTCATCAAGACCTAGCCCATCCCGGTCTCCTTTCCAGGTACCTCAAGACGAAGTATCCTTCCACGTATGAGCAACCAAGAAATAACAAACACCCTCATACTTTAACAGCACTAGATATCACCTTGTTTTTGTTCAATCCATCTTTACTGGTCCTCTTAGTCCTATCGTTCCCCAACTGACCTACCTGGTATAGTAGGATCTAAAGTATCGAGTATTCCGGTCTATGTAGCTCGGTTGGGTCATTGTTATACCCAAGATAAGTTAGCAGCTACTTTGGATATAGCTTAACACGAAAGCCTATTACCTCACAACTTTTTATCTGGTTCCATCCCAATGTTTTAAAAAGTATTCAATTTTATTTTGCTTTGGGCTCACACACAAATCAAGTTATTTTTGTGGCGCATATGTATTCGGTGCCCCTTTGTACCAATATTTGTGTTCAAATAAATAAAATAAAGGGGAGGCCAAACCCAAACGTGGCATCAGTCCTTGAAGTTACTTTATATCTTTCTCTATATTATATTATGTCCTTATCTTTCTTTTATATATTACTGCCATTGAAGTAACTGCTTCTATGAATTTGGTATTCACTTTGTTGTGCTAATGAGGTGTGGCAACTTTGACCGATGCATATATGTGCCTGGTGCTACGTTGTAGCTGACTGATTGACTTCATTGTTCCCATGTGCTTTCCTAATCTATGTTTCCGTTTTTCATGGTCGCCACATATATAGGTTAGTTGGTAAATCCTCGTTCCTTTTGCCAAACGTAAAAGTATGAGACAAAATAATTCACCTCCATCATATCCTCAATGGAATTAGGAGGAGATATCACCAATCCCTTCAGAAATTTTTGTCGTAGCCATCGTTGGGACGTATATATTTGAAGCTTTGTAAGTCGGTGGACAAGATTTTTTAAGATATCAACTTTCATTAGCAAGTCTACTACTTATTTCAATAACTAGATAAACATACCGTCTAAAGTTATCTTAACTTTATGTGTCCCCAGTTACAGTGAGCCTACATTTAAAAGCCATCTAAAATCTTTCGCGAAACTATTATGTAAAACATTGTGCTATAGCCCAACTAGTCTTTCTGTTAGGATATATTATGAAAATATAACTTATATTTTCCATCACAATTATATGCGGGTATGGTGAACTCAGTGATTAGATCTTAATACATCAAAAAATATGGTTTCATGCTTTTTCTCGTCTATAAGTGTTATACCCAATAATTTGGTTATTTGAAGTTATATTCATTACTAACTTGTCGTTTATGTGTTTCTATCTAGGAAGAACCGGGGATCGCTATCCTATTTTCTAAATCTCAATTCCCAGGAGAAGATTGTCAACTGCCTGTTGATTTTGGGGGTAACAGTTTTTCAGACTTTATAAACAAAGGGGATACATCTAAATCAAATTTAGATCATCCACCTAGTCGTCGTCGCTTATCCCGTACTATTCGGAAAAAACGTGATATTGTTCGTGATTCCAATAAAAACGAGCCCAAGTTTGCTAATAATGGTTCTTCAGAGATGGGTGATTTCCATAATGTCCCTTTTCAAACACCCCGTCTGGCTGCGGCTATTTCAAATGTAAATAAAGTATTAAAGCACAAAAAATTGAACAGGAAACGAAAAAAGTCGTCAAATTCGTAAAGAAATACTTTGTGGTGTATTTTTATTTACCTAGTTCCGATTGTGATGTCCATTATCCTTTCGCACTTATTTTTACAATGAAACAAATAGTATAAAATTGCAATACACTTTATATTATACCATTTAGTACAAGTTTTTTTAATATACAAGATGTATAGCCAAGTTGATTTCAAAATATTTCTCAGACAAATCTGTTACACAATTGTTGTTTTAAAAGCATAAATAATAACTTGTAAAACCTAGAGCATGATAGTCTGTCAGTGTCCGCTCAATAACCAATCTTCTGAACAAGTAGCTTCATAAGGATATGCGTCTAGATTAGTCTGTAAATTTGTATACTCAGCCGCAATTCTCCGTCGTGAGTTATCTCCTAAAGGAACTGAATTGTTGTTCACTTTACATTTTTCTAAATTGTCTTGGTTTGCTTCAGGTTGATCTTTTACCGGAGATTCATTTTGTACTGAGTCTTCACTGGGTAATGATACGTCTTGGTCACTGAATTGTAACTTTAGTGGGTAAGTGATGCTTGTCTCCCGATCTTCTTCCATTACGGTTATTCGCTTTTTCAGTAGATTAACCTTGTTTATTGAAAAGTAGAAATAACTGATTAGTCCCAGTGTATCTTTTCGAACACTATTATATAAAGTTGACAGGAAGACGCTTAAAGACAAATATCCTTCAAGTAGTCAGCAACTGGTTGAACCACCAGTTTATCGATTCCGACGCAGCAAGAAGTGAAGTAGTTAATGCGTTCATTTGTTTCGTTTTTGACGGAGAAAACGATTATCCTTAGGGTTCTCGTACAAGCCTTCAAAACATTCCTTTTCATTAGCTTGCCTACCTACTATAACATTATTTGTACTCTTTGAATCTGTCTCAGGATCTGTGCGTAAGTATCCGAAACGGTAAATACCAGGAAAAATCTACCTGTAGAAAGGTGTTCGCCATAAATAAATGGTTATCTAAAAAGAATTAATTGTAATTATTGATTCTGAACCGGCTGACATCGCCATCAAGCAGTATGAGACTTTATTTGACCACATCTACCAAAGGTATTATCACCTTCATTCCCGTTCTCTATAATTATTTTTAATTTAGCAAAAATGTAAATGCATTTACCTATATTATAACCAACTATGTGTCTTTGTGATTTGTTAAATCCGATTACGTTATAAGAAATAATAGTTAGGAAATATACTAATCACCATTATGTTACATGATGGGACAAACAAACACCCTTAAAATCCATTCCAAAAAAAATTAGTCCCAAGGTATGTTATTTGTCATTGTTTCACAAATAACAGTTCGAACAGACTAGTACCTTCTGTTTCACTGAAGATTTTATTTTCGTTAAAAAGCCTACATCAATATCTACATTTGGCATGGACGGTCTTCGAAGTCTTCTGATAATAACTAATGGGTCAAAGAGTCTAAATTAAACTACATATAACTAACCTGAAGACGTAATGCCTCAATAGTTGCCTCCATATGAGTACGGGATTCAATTGGTAATGAATTTCCTAATTGTGCTATACGTTCTTCATGCCAGCGAGTCTTCATATCGTTCCACGCCTTTTCTTGCTGACGAAGAGAAATCTCTGCTAAACGTGCTCTATTGCGCTCTTTTGATATAGCCTCCTTCAAGATCTACAGAAGAGGAGCAGGTAATTAATATATCCGGTTGTTATATACAAGGTCTTGCACATAAACTTAACACAACTATGATAAGGGTATCGTTTAAAATCATTAATTAAATCTGGAATCATATGGAGAATGGTATAGTGTTTAGAAATCACCGCACTCCTTTTACGGGGGTAGAAACATTCCTGTTTTCGCTGCATTCTCATATCCATTACTCATTCACTTTCTGATTGGCTAAACCAACAGCGAGTTAAATGAGACTGGGATACTGTGTAGTTCTTATAACAAGGTGTTGTGAAGATTGTTAGCTTCCATGGTTTACATCATTGAATTGCCTTATTAGATGAGTATCGAAAACCAGGAAGCACTGGGCAGCTATTTCGCCATAGTATGCGATTCCTCTGGAGCGCTCGCCCACAACTATAGCGGGGATTGGACCCATGAATTCCAGGTCTCGATGAAAGAATTCAACCGTTAGACTACTGTCTGTCATCCATTGGCCTACACGTCGGGTTTCAACCAAGTAATAATTTGAAAGTCTTAGGTCCGATCCCTGATGTGCTTCCATGGGAGGAAGAAACAGATATCCGCTACTTCCTGGTTTTCACTTATTATCTAGGATCAGTTCGCGATGTAAAGTATGAAATACTATGTGTAATGTTCAGATTGAGTTACGCCAGTCGATTGACCGCACTTCATACCATAGGTCTGATCAAAGGTATTTAATAAACAAACATTTTGGTTACAGCACAAGTTCCACGTTCGAGTTTGCATCTAAAACAACTCCATGGTCCCGGTAATGCTTCACGTTTTTCTGTTATTAAATCGGTATCGGCTGTTAAGGAATTTCGTTGTAAGTTTTCGATCATAAAGCCGAGTGGTCTAATCACCAAGATTTCTTCGTATTCCTAGGCAAAATCACCAACTAGAACCCCAAAGAAAAATTATCTATATCTTGCATCCTCCCAAAATGTCAACGTTCTGTTTTGCCTAAATATCACGAAATATCCTCACCTACATCAAGCGATACAAACGTTAATTAGACTGAGAAATTATGAAATCTTCATCAGGAGCAACACTTAAATTGACCAAAAAATTTCCAAAAGCTTGACAGTTTGATCACTCAGTAGTCAATAAGCATATCGAAATATATCCAGTTTATTGACTAATGAGAAAATAGATTAATGACTACATATTCATCAGTCAGATAGTGGAAAATGCCATAAAAAAAGAATTTATAGACAATGACTGTACAAGTATTGCCAGCGACCACTGAAATTTCGATGTTGTCATAACGAGCTGTTTATTGGCGTCAGGGGTAATTTCAAAAGCCAATTTCTCTTTGAATTTACTCCGGGAACTTATTTTTAAAAATGAAGAGAACTTCATGGTTAAACTGTCCAGCCCAGAAAACGCAACATCATGAGAATTTTTCTGCTAAGCTTTAAATCTCCCCTACCTTTATTAAAAAAACTCGGCAAAAACTAAAAGTATAACTAATACATTATTCTATAGTTTGAAATGTAAGCTTAGATATATATACCATTTTATTTGTATGTCATCAACTATGCATTTAATTCTGAGAATTTCACATTTTGGAGCAGTTCCCACCTTGTCGAATCTAAAAAATACTCGTTATTTCCTGCTTCATAAAGTAACATTTTGTTCATATTTCCAAAGATTATACTGATAATATTAGTCAATAATAAACGTCTTCATTAAGCGTAATTATAAACATAACTGTATATATATAAAGAACAGGAAAGTCGTTGGAAATTACTTTTCAGCTGAATTTTATGTAAATCATGCTGTAATATTTTGTTTCAAAGTCTTTCATCGACTGAGAAAACATTTATTACTCTTAAATCATAAAGGAATGTTAGTACTAACGTTTTACCTATTCTATTTTAAAAAGATAAACTTATAGAATTCATTACATAACAATTAACAATATGCATAATACTGTTTATATATTAATAATAAATACCTACCAATACTTCTTGCTTTTGCTTATTCTTCATTTGTTCAATTTCACTTTGAAATGATTCAGATAATGTTTCTTGTGTGTTTCTTTTTTCTTGTAAAGCTTTCTGTAATATCATGTCTAAATTAATTATTTTCTCTTGACTTTCATTCAGTCGCTTTACAAAAGAGATATCATTAAAAAATTATCATCAGTCAATTGTCAAATATATAGTTATAATTGACTCATTCACCAGGTATTTGATTATGAGGTACACTAAATTTAAAGGCTAATAAAACTATTCACTCAACCTAAATCGAACTAGGTTGAGTGGGGTTAGTTTGAAGATTGTTTTTATGAAATACTCTGAGTTTATGTGAAACTAAAATTATCATTAGTAATAACCGAAATATTTCTTGGATCCCAACCGAATAGATTTAAGAAATTTATTTATTTATTTGAACACATGAATATTGGTACAAGAGAGCGCCAATATATATGCGCCACACAAAACAATGAAAATTCAAAGAGAAGTAGAAAAAAAAGAGAACAATAACGAAGATATTGGTGTAAGGTAGTGTCGTAGTAACGAGAGAACGAAAAGGTACAATCAGAAGAAATCTTTCAGGTAAGGGAGACACAACCACTTTTTATGAAGAAAGTAAAAGGTTACAGCAGGATCGCCACTGGCTTCTATTCTGAGCCATATATAATAATGTCTCTAGCCACTGTGTAGCACCATCTCTCAGACCCCAACCAGGGAGTCGTGAAGGCCCAACACAAGCCAGTCCTTTGCAGCTTTCTTTCATACCACGACACCATGTCATATACTGACCACCTCTCCGCTTCTTTCAACCAGTCCCAGAATCGCCAAATAATGCACGACGTGGAATTCTCTGGGACGACATTCGGAGAACATGTCCAAGCCACCGAAGTCGGTGTTTCAAGATGGTGATACCAATTGCATTATCATCTCTGTTCCCGAACACACGATGCCGAACATCTGCATTACTAACATGGTGTTGCCACTGGATGTCAGCAATCCTTCGGAGACAGCGATGATCAAGCAAAGAGAGTCTTCTTACATCCTCAACTCGGAGAGGCCAGGTTTCACAAGCATAGAGCAAAACTGCTCTCACCGACGCGTTGTAGATCCGACCTTTTACAGCCAGACTAACATCACGAAGGCGCCAAAGGTGGCCCAGATTGGCATAAGCCGCTCTGGCTTTCACTATACGTGAATTGATCTCATCACTCACACCCCCACCAGCACTCATACAGCTACCCAGATACACGAACTTCTCGACTACGTCTATCTGCTCACCATCCAGGGTGAGTACAGGGTTGGAATCCTGCCAGTCTTGTAGAAGTACTTTGCACTTCGAAGGTGCAAAGCACATACCATACCTACGGACATTGATTGCCAACCGATTACGTACGGATTGCATCGCGTAGACATTATCGCACAGTAAGACAATATCATACGCATACTCAAGGTCGAGAAGTCTTTCTCCAGGCAACAGATCCACACCGCCATTACTTACATTCATCAGAGCTGTTTCCAGAACGTAATCTATGGCAAATTTGAAG